TCGTGAATAAATTAGCAGCCTGTTGCTCAATTTTTGGAAGATAGGATGTAAGAACAGGTTCACTATATAATGAATTATAATATGAAACTAGTTCATTGTACCTAAAATCCCTTAAAGAGTGCTCAAAATTATACAACAACTCAACAATTGTATTTTTCCTCCTTATATATGTTTTGATACAAGAATTAATCCCTTCACATTATGACGTTGTTCGTATTCCTGCAAAAAACTTATCACGAAGATATGCATGAGCCCACACGAGCCTCTTCCTATAAACTTCACTAACCCAATTGTTATCTTCAACCTGATGCTTATCAACTAACTCCTACCAAAAATTTTCAAATTCACTTGACGAAAAATTACCATACATTGCTATTTTGAACCCACAGACATTTTTTTGCAAATGCCAACCACAAAGTCTATGTGTAGCATTTGGAAACACTTGTTTTATTGCCTCCCTCATTGCTCCATCAACATCTGTCACAATGGACTTTGGTTGTTTGTTGCACATTGCATCCAAAAATGTTTGTAACACCCACTTGTATGTTTCAATTGTTTCGTCTGAAACAACACTACAACCAAATATCACAGTTTGAGAATGATGATTTTTTCTAGAAAAAATTACTAAAGGCTTATTGTACTTATTTTTCTTATACGTGCTATCAAATGCAACATGTCCAAAATATTGGAAATCAATCTACTGGTACCATCAAACCAAAATAGGTGCTTCAATTCACCTTCATTGCCAACAACATATCTTAAAAAAACATTGTATCATTATCTGCCTTTCCTTGTAAATAACTTAAGGCATCCATTACATCTCCCCCTTCAACTTTACACCGTCTATGTTGTGAAATATGATTATAAAGATCTTTCTTGTTGAACCCTAAACCAACACAGCCCCCCTTTTGCTCCATCATGAAACCCATTATGTGACATGTTCTTACACCTTGAGCATGCAACGAATCAACCTGTGCTTTGTCTGCACTACACAGCCCACGATATGTAGGGATTAATGGAACAAATTTATCTTCACATCTAATATGATTATGACTTGGTTCATGTCAAAGGTCTTTGTTGTTTGTTCCTATCATCTCTAATAAAGTGTTTCTTATCCCTCAAACCCGCCTTGTTGCACAAAAATTGATGCATTACAATATTGTGATTTTTGTCATAACAAACTTCATCTTTTCTAACACCAAAACCATGATACTTTGCATAACCAAAATAGAATTTATAAGTATCATGTTCACTACATAACTCCATCTCTAAAATCTCATCTGTTGTTAAATCAATATAACTTTTGTAATCAAATCCACTCAAACCTACAGTTTCTACTTTATCACTTTCACTTTCGCTATCATCACAAATATCTGCATTTTCTTCTTCATAATTTTCGATATCACTATCTTTACAAATATCAATGTGAGTAAAATTACACTCTTCTTCATCACTTAAATTAACACAACCTTCATCATTCAATTTTGCCATCTGTATAATATGTGAAAAATCCAACACAAATATTAATAAACAACACAATCAAAGCAACTAAACCCTAAATCAAAATTTCAAATTACCCACAAAACGAACCCAACCATATAAAAAACACTATCTTCGAACACACGACACCCACAGGTAACCAATCCGTCCAAATGCCTTGTCGGAGATGATGACGCTTTATGCTTGACAAACTAAGTTCCTTCGCTAGAGAACAACAACGAATTTTCCTTCCAATTCAAAATGGACACTCGCAACCACCTCGCCGGAGAACAACAACGACAATACTATTTTCGACAACACCACAACAGAAAACGAAACTAGAACGACTATTTGTGGATATTCAAAATGGACAGTCGCAACCACCTCACCGAAAAATGCCAATTTTATAGTTCAATCACAGGGCTCAAAAATAACAATGGAAAGCCCTAAATGGAGAAGGCCAATTTTACATTCATAGCCTTTCGTGAAATTACCCATTTGTCCCTAAAACAAATGTTCAACTTTCAAACGACACCTTTCCAACTCACCAGTGACTCACCTCATTAATGCCACATGTCAATCTGTCATTGGTCCTCATAGAAGGGGCACCACAACCCCTTCAATTAAAAGGGCACCTAAGCAATAGCCGTAGAATTCATTGGCTAGAGGTGGATATGAAGTGTGAGGGCCCACAAAAGAGCCCATGTGAGTTTGTTGGTCGTATGTACCCTTAAAGCACTACAAAAAATGGCATTTAGCGACTGATAAGTGTTTAATTAGTTTGATGGAATTTAAATTTGAGACACTTATCTAGCACACTTTTTGTATATATTGATATAATTTTGGAAAATACATTAAGAATCAAAGAGGGGCTCTTAATTTACGTTATTACATGGAGTGATGAGTTTTTGATCAGATTTCCCCTTATTTTATAGTTTTTGAAGTCTGGAGGAAAATGACTCAGCCTTTCAAAAGGGCTGAGTGCTTTCAAGCTAGAGAGCCCTTCAAAAGTGCACCAAACTAGAGGAGCTCAGCCATTCTGAAGCGCTGAGTAGTTTTGGCCCTGGAAGAAGGAGTGTTCTCTACCTTCTAGGCGCTCAGCGGATCTGAAGCGCTTAGCCCTTGGCTTGCTTGATAGTGAAGAATCTCTCAGGTGCTCAGCGGATTTGAGGGGCTCAGCCCTTCAGATTACTTCATGATGAAGAATTCTTCAAATCGCTCAGCCGTTTCAAGACGTTGAGTGGATTCTTCTCTCTCCTGCCTACTCTATTTTAATTCCAACACTTATAAAAGGGCATAGGAGAGAGAAAAATAGGATCACAAGTGACACGAAGAGAAGAACAGAGAGGAACTAGGAAATAGAGCACCTTGGAGCTCGTGGCGACGTGATTCTTCAAAGGATCTCTTTCTTCTACCTTTCTTCTTGTTGTTTTGTGATTTCTTGTACCATGGAGAGCTAAAGCTCTAGGGTTGGGATTGATGTAATCATCGAACTCCTTTGTATTCCTCTTTGATTCATATATATATCTCATCTATTACTCAATGTCAGTGATTTGTTTCTATTCTTAATGCTTTGATGAACTGATCATTTATCTTTGATTTCAGATTTAGAATTTGGTTGGAAAACGTTTTCTGAATCTAAACTTGGAACGAATCACCTATTAGTTTCAAAAGTCAAGAATGATTTTGGAATTAATAGTTGTAAGAAGTTCTGACTCTTAATGCGGGATATTTAACTGAATGAAGTGAGGAATCATTCATTGAGTTAAATATCTTAGAATTTCTTATGCCAAGGAATTGGGTGAATGAATATAGAGAACTCAATGGCCATGAGTAATGGAATCATTTGAAAGAATCAATATGAATGCATAGGAGGGAGATTGATGAAATCTAATCCCAACTATTTCTCATATCTATTTTTCTTAAATCTAATCGGACTCTTGGTTACTTAAGTTTGATCTACCATTCACATCAAATTTTGAACATGTGTGATTACTCAAGTTTTAAATTTATAAGTACCAATTAGTATAATAGAAATCAAAGCTTACTTCACAAGTCCCTGAGGATCGAAAACCTTTTAACTCTATTATAGAGACTTGGGTGCGCTTGCTCAGAAAACCAACAAGTTTCTTGGCGTCGTTGCCGAGGACTTGTGTCAAGATAGTTTGTGATTTCTATTATTCTTGTTGTAGCTTGTTTGTGTATATATTTGTTTTATTTTCTTTTTGTTAAAATATTATTTACCTGGTTGTTCTAACTTTTCTGTTTAAGTCACTATTTGTATGTGAGGCAAAATTCCTGTTGAGCATTTGCTATTTGATCCAGAGATTGAGAAAACAGCTAGGAAAAATAATAGTAAAAGAAGGCGGCAAAGGAAGCTTGAACTGGAAAGGCAGGAACAGGAAGGTACTTCCACCTTAGTTTCAGCTCAACATTCTACTCTTTAATCAATGGTTGAAGAAGGACCGGGTGGTGATAGACCACATCATAATCCCCCAAGGAGACTCCTAGGAGAATATAATCATCAGTTGGGTCCTAGGAATTTCTCCAGTATTGCCAAGCCAACCAAGAGGGTGGAAATGAAACCAGATTTATTATCTCTCATAACTACTAATCAATTCGCAGGGATGAATCATGAAGATTCCTACACTCAACTGTCTACTTTTTATGAACTCATTTCCTGGAGAAGATGAAGAAGTGGTATATCTGCGATTATTTCCTTTTTCCTTGATAGGTAAGGCCAAGACATGGCTACAAGCCCACCCAAATCAGAGTTTGACCAGATGAGACGATGTAGAGCAGAAGTTTTTGGCTAGATTCTTTCCTCCTTCCAGATACATAAGTGCCAAATCAGCAATTACAACTTTCTCTCAAGGCACTGATGAACCTTTGTGTGAAGCCTGGGAGAGATATAAGTCTTTATTGAGAAAATGCCCAAATCATGGGTTTGATGATGTTGCACAACTTAACATGTTCTGTAATGGGTTAAGGCAACAAACAAAAATGCTATTGGATGCTTCTGTAGGTGGTTCTATGATGATGAAGGATTCTGAGGAAGCAATCATTATTATCGATGCTTTAGCAGCCAATGATTACCAAGCTCACCATGATAGAAGCCAGCCCACAAAAAAGGAATTCTAGAATTGGATACTTAGAATGCAATTTTAGCTCAGAATAAACTTCTTTCTCAAAAAATAGAAGAATTAAAGAAATAGATGTCTAAGCTCCAAGTGGGATCATCTTCACGCCTTCAGCAAGTAATGAGATGTGATTTTTGTGCAGGTGATCATCCAAATGGACATTGCAACATGACTGAACTAGACCAGGAGGAGGAAGTGAATTAAATGAACAACTCAGTGAGGCAAGGGAATTGCTCTGGCAACTACAATCAGAACCAAGGTTGGAGGAACAATCAAAATCAGTATTCTGGTTGGAAGCAAGAAGTAGGGCCATCACCAAGGCAACCTCCACAGAAGCCATATCAAAATCAACCTTCTTATCAATCGGACAGGCTAACAAAAATGGAGGAAGCCCTTATACAGTTCATGCAGGTTTCTTCAACTAATAAAAAAAATACTGAAGCCTCTATCAAAAATCTGGAAGTACAAATAGGGCAGTTGGCTAGCAGAGCAGCATAGTAATAATTTTTTTAGCCAATACACAGGTCAATCCTAAAGAATATTGTCAATCAATTATAACCAGGAGAGGCACTGTGATAGGAAAGGGGATATGTGATCATTTGAGAGAAAATAAAGATGGAGTGGATAAAGATAAGAGTGAATTTGAGCCTGAAAGTGAGAAAGAGGCGGAGTTGAATAAAGAGGTAGGAAAAATAGAAAATAATAAAAAAGAGAGTGAAAAAAAATGAGAGTAGAGATGGAGATGTGAGGGAGGAGAGCAAGAAGAAGGGTAAAGATGTTGTTAGGCCTCCTCTTGTGAAGAATCTACCTTATGCACATGCTCCATCAAAGAAAGACAAGGAACGACAGTTTACAAGGTTCCTTGATATAATCAAGAGGTTTCATATCAACATACCCTTTGCAGAGGCTTTAGAACAAATGCCATCTTATACAAGATTCATGAAGGAGCTTCTGACAAAGAAGAGAAAATTGAGTGAGGATGGAACAGTGGAGTTAGAGGTAGGTTGCAGTGCTATAATTTAGAGGTCACTTCCACAAAAATCTAGAGACCCAGGGAGTTTCACCTTGCCAATCACCATTGGCAATCTCTCTGTGGGTAAGGCATTGTTGGATTTAGGGGCTAGTATCAATCTTATGCCCTTATCTATGTTATAGAGGATAGGTGAGGTGGAGGTGAAACCTACCAGGATGACTCTGCAATTGGCTGATAGATCTATAAAGTATCCTCATGGTATTGTTGAATACCTCTTGGTTAAGGTTGATAAATTTTTGTTTCTAGTTGATTTTGTTGTCATGGATATAGAAGAGGATTCTGAGGTTCCTCTCATTTTGGGTCGGCCATTCATGAAGACAGCTAAGGTCATTATAGATGTTGATGATGGCAAACTTAAGGTTAGGCTGCAGGATGATGAGGTGAATTTTAATATTTTTGAAGCTATGAAACACCCAAATGACAAGAAAGATTATTTTAGAGTGGATGTGATGGATGAAGTGTGTTTGGAAGCTGAAAGAAAATCTTCATTAGCCACACCATTAGAGAAGGAATTAAATTTTGATATTAAAGCTACAAGTGAAAAGAGAAAACTTCAACTACATGAGCTTGAAGAAATGCAATTGCAAGCTTATGAATCCTCAAAAATTTACAAGAGCAAGGTGAAGTCCTACCATGACAAGAAAATTGTGCAGAGAAACTTCCAACCAGGCCAGCAAATATTGTTATTCAATTTTAGGTTGAGATTATTGCCTGGAAAGTTCAAGTCCAAATGGTCAGGTCCCTTTGTGATCAAATCAGTCAAACCTTATGGGGTAGTGGAGTTAGAAGAGCCAAATTCTGGAAGATCTTGGATGGTTAATGGTCAGAGAATTAAGCCATATCTGGGTGGTGAAGTTGAGAAACTTACCATTGTAATTCATCTCAATGACCCATAATTGAGTGAAGTGTCAAGCTAATGACAATAAAGAAGCGCTTACTGGGAGGCAATCCAGCCATTTTGGTTTGAATTCTCATTTTCATTTTAATTTAATCCTTTACATATGTAGTTATGCTTTTGAAGAGTTGAGTTTGTGATTTGATGTTTTGATGGTGTATTCTATCAAATGTTTTGTTCCTTCAAAATTCTCCTCTCTTGTGTTATGTTTTTTTATAGTTTATTGAAGGTAACTGGAAGTGGGAGTGTGAAAGGAGAACAAAATGTGCTTCTTCCAGGTAAGTTTACAAAACTGACAAAACAGCTCAGCCCAGAAAAAGGGCTCAGCCCTTTGGCTGTCGCATCTGATTGTGAGCTAAGTTTTCCTCCCAGGGGAAAAAGGGCTCAGCCCCTCATATTAGCAAAAAAATTTGGTTGAGATTTCTGCATCAAACGGCTGAGCATTTTCAAAGAGCTCAGCATTTTTCTTTATATTGCTCGCGGCACCCAAACGGCTGAGCGCCTAAAAAGGGCCCAACACTTCAAAAAAAATTGAGAAAGCCTAATCCAAGAACAGAAAAGCAGTTGTCCCTTTATTTGTCTTTCATTCTCAACACTTTCAAACCTGGTTTTCTCATTTTCTCTCGCTTTCTTCTCTTCCACACACACCATTATTCTCTTTGATTCAAGGTAAGTTTCAAGTTCTCTCTTTTGATTTCTGTTGTGCCTTCATGAAAACATCTTATTAGTATCTGATGTGTTTTGTGTCCACTTGTGGTGATGACAAAATTCTTTTTGGGAATCAAATTGATAATCTTTCTGGAATGAGCATTTTCATGATTCAAGTTTTCAATAAGCGATGTTTTCTAATCTAGAAGTTTTCATTGTTGCACAAGTGGTTGTACATTTTTGACTTTAAGTATGTGCTTCAAGCATGTTCAAGTGAAATTGAAATGATTCTGAAGTTGTTGATGTCTGGGGCACTTAACCAAACCGTGTGAGTGAGTGGGCCAAACAGTTAATATTCAATCATTGAGAGTCATCACTGTTTCATGCGGCCAGTTTTGTTTGAGTCTCCCATGAGTTACAGTTAAGCTATGCATGGAATTTACTATAAGGCAATTGTTATTATACTTAGCCAGTAGCCAAAAAGCCAACCCATGAACTACATCAACCCTTGATCAGCCATTTTGAGCCTAAACAGATCCCTTAAGCTTATAAAGAAAAACCATGACTGTCCTTGTGATGGAATCATGCCAAGGAGGCCAAGAGGTGACATCTTGAAGGAACCAAGAGGAATGGGCTAGACATGAAGATTTGGGCCAGTCAAGGCCCAATGGGCCCGATGGGCCTAGGAGGCCCAATTTGTTCTTCACATGGGACACACCTTGAGATAGAAATTTTTATTTTATTTTGTATATATTAGTATAGATTTCATATATTTTGGTCTTGTATTTTGGACTACATAGAGTAGCATTTTTGGGTCATAGGCTTATTGGGCCTAGTTTTGGGCTTCATAGGCCTTTGGGCTTTTGGTACCTAATATTGGGCTCATTTTGTTTCTTTTATTATTTCCTTTTATTTGTGTATGTTTGACCATTGTATTTAGGCCATTAGAGTAGGAATATTTGAGGAACACTTAATAAGGCAAAACTAGCTTAAATTAGGTTTCATTTAGCATGCATTTAAGTTGAATTTGAGTCACATGTTTTAGCCAAGGGTGGATGCACATGTGGACACTCAAATGTATCTTAAATTCACTCCAAATGAAGCTTAATTAGCCATGATTCACATTCAGCACATGGTAGCCCAAAGAATTTGAATTCAAAATTCAAATTCTTGGCGCCAAAGTTCAAATTTGAACTTGGCTCCACTTTGGCTTGGCTAATTGTCTATTTTAGTCTTTTCCTTCACATTTGTATTCACTTTGAACATATTAGAGAATTCTGATCAAATTTGATTCAGCTTCAATTCTCTCCTCAAATTCACTTTAGAAGCTTAGAAAAGTTCCTTGAGAGCTTCTAGGTTCTAGTCCATTTGTGAGCAATCCATTGCTCACTTTTGCTTTGGTGCTTCCTTCCATTCCAATTTTGTCTCTCTTCTCCTTGCTTTGCTAGATTTGAACGTTCACAATTTGGATCAAGGAAGAGTGCCGTGGCCGGAGCAAAGCCAAGGGAAGATCTTCAATTTTCTTCACCTAGCTTTGCCATCATTTTTCTCTCCCTCTCGAAAAGGATTTATCCTCAAATCATGAGGGTTTCTATGATAAACATCATCACCTATAATAATAAAATACCATGCATGAGAGGTGATATGTTCAATGGATGGAAATGAAGAATATACCCTTAGATGATTCATCTTAGAAAAGAAATTTACACTAAAAACACCAGACTCTCTAAAGGTAGAGATAAGATCCTTACCCAAGCAAAGTCTATGTGTGTAGCTAAAACCTAGAAATGTAATGAAACTAATACTATAGCAATTGAAAGAGTTATCTCTAAAAACTAAAACATCTTGCCTAAGGTTCCCTAAATGGTGACCTAGGCATGCCCTAGAGAATAAAGAAAATACTACAAGAAAACTTCCTAAACAATTATGGATTATATTGTTTGTTAGATAGTGATGAAAAGATAATGTCCCATGGAATCTTGAAAACTCATATAAACTATTTTTTTCTTGTAGGGAAGGAGGCAAATTAAGTTCAAATAAAGATGAACTTCCCTTAAGATCAAAAATAGAATATGAAACATGACAAGATGTATCTATCAAACAATATATTCCAAAATTTGGGTGCTTTATTAGAACAACTAAGGTAGAAGGAGTCCTAAAGAGAGGGAGGCTATCTTCCTTGGGCACCTCCAAAGAATTAGCACAAGAAGTAGAACTAAGTGTAGTCTACTCCTTCTTCACTATATCTTGAAGTTGAGATTCGTTTTTCTTTAAAATATTTTGTTCTAGAATCTCTACTTCATGACTAGTGGTAGCATAAGGGTAAGAGTTAAGGTCTTTATGTAGGAAGAGAGTATTTTGCAAATGGTTTTTAGTGATAGAACAACTCTCTTTACTCACAAGTCCTTTAGAGGAGATATTTTCCTCCTTACTCTTCCCTAAGAGAAATGCCTTTTTTCTTTCATTTTTTCTTGTTTTTCTCAATTTTATTTTTTCCAAAAGTTTTTCTTCCTTTTGTTTAATAATGCGAATTTCTTCCTCCAAAATTGCAAGTTGTGTTTTTCTTTTTCTTTTGTTAACATTTCTTGCTTGGTCCAAAGTTTTAGTGGCATAAGCTCTTGAGTAGGATGTGAAAAACTTTTTGGAGAACTTAAGGCACTACCACTTGAGGAATTCTTTCTCATGATTAAACAAAAAGAGTTTTCAAAAAAGATAAGTTTTCAAAAATTCCTAAAGAAAAGTTGGCTAAAGATTACTAGTTAAACGTGGTTCTAAACAACACTAAGCCTTTGGAACTTAGAAATTGTTTCCCTTAAACTTCAATGAGCAAGCATCTAGCAGACTTGACAATTAAAACATGCAATTTGAAAACTTAAAAACAAGAGAAAATTTTAAGCAAACTAGTCGATTGGTTAAATTTCAATGCAAAAGGAAAATGAATTTTTTTTTTCAAGGAACAAAACTAAACACTTAGTGGTCTAAGTATACAAATTGCACTATCAAGGGAGGTGAGCTACTAAGAGCCACTTAATAACCAAGCCTTTTCAAGTGGAAATTACTAAACCCCTTTAGGTTAGTTTCAATTCCAAAATCTTTTCACAAACTTTAATGCTTATGATTTTCTTCAAACAATTTTTTTTTTCTTGATTCCTTCCTAAGTGTGAGCAATTAAAACTGCACAAGCTAGTCGAATCAACTAAGTAAAGCAATCAAAGACAACTAAACAATAGCAATGATCAAAGATTAACAAGCTATTCGGTTTCCTAAGTGGAAGCTTGAAATCATATGAAATTTTCAAGCCACTTCCACTAGATCTACACGTGAGTGATCTATAGGGATTTAGATATACCTGATCAGCTTCTTAATACTCCCTTCAAGCTATTACAATTGATTAGAATCAAAGAAAATTTCAAGAAAAAATAAGCTAGATTAAAGCAACATTTAGTGACGGATTTGGAGACAATTTTAGCAAGGGATTTTTCTTTGACAATTTTTCAGCCACCACTTTGTCTCCAGTTCATCCCTAATCTTGGATTCTTGTTTCTCCTTGCAACCTGCACCTTAAACATAGAAAAATACAGAAAATTGGCTGCTCACAATGATGGAAAGGTGTGATCACTCTTGTGAAGGATCTTTAGGAGGTTAAAGGATGATTTATGTATGAACAAGTCCAAAATCTCCTAGTCTTAAGATTCCTCTCCTTCTTCTAGGATTTGTGAGCTAATGCTTGCTTCCTTTGCAATGGTTTGAGGCAGCTTCCAATCATGGAATCCAAGAATAAAAACAGCAAAAGCACAATTAGGAATAGTTAAACCAAAGTAGAGTAAGAATTTGACAAACACAAAGAGTTCCAATCAAGACTAAAAAAACTAAAAATTAAGACACACCTAAAGGTTGGCACACAAAAGGAAAGGTCCTAGATTAAGTCTAGATTAGATTAAGAAAACCAAAAATTAAAGGAAGAGAAGATTAGAGATGATTTAAAAAGATTGCAATCCGGATTAAGCTTGGTGGCACAATTTCATTGTTCTATGTTTCTCCTTGGCTTTTTCTACTTTGTTCTTTTCTTTCTTTCTTTTTTTTTAATCTTTTTTTTTAAATTATTTTGTTTCAAAGGAGATCTCACTTCCTTTTTCCAGCAAAATGTTCCAGCCACACTAATTAAAAGATTGAATCCGAATTACTAAAAAAAAAATTCAGCTAGAACTAGTTCAAAATTTATAAGGAATTTGGTGCATGTTCTTTACAAACACTTGCTTGTTTTCAATCGAAATTCACTTGCACATTTATTTTTCAATATTGGTTCTGTTTTTCCCCTGTTTTACAAACAAATTTCCAGATTCTTAAATGCCAAATTCATGCACCAAAATTGAACTAGTCTACTAACCAAAAAATCTAGCAATAATGATCACAATTTTTTTTATAGGAAATTTTCATGGAATTTTATCAATACAAACAATGAAGACATAATGGAAACATAACTCTAAGAATCCACCAATGAACTAGTGATGGATACGAACTCAAAGTTGCAAAATAAAAGCACATATGAAGGCACACAAAGTATAGCTCTCGGCCAAAGCAGCTTTTAGTAGAAAATGAATCAAACAATGTTTAAACTAAGCACATCTTG